CTGGCATCTGTTTATGGAAGTTTTGGAATGTGAGGATGTTATTGCCTTTATCTGGCATTTTGATAGCTTGTTCGCCATTGATAACAATACAATTGGTTTTGTGATTGTTTAAGAGGCAGTCTCAGTAAAAACCGCCCCCTCAATTTCGCGTGAGAAATAATTTTGCCTGAAACTCTGGCAAGTGAAAGGCTTTATCGAGACTATAACTAAAATAGGTTTGCTTTGATTCACAATAATTTTCTTGCCGCGCTTGGGGGCGCTAAGTACTTTGTCCCGCCACAGCCAGTCTGCACGTCTTGAAAATGTTTGATTTGCACCATCAGCCAATGAATTTTATATCTATTTATAGGCAAACACCTTAAGTTTTACCTTTTAGTTTAAAAAAAAAAAAGTAGTGGTTATTCGCTAAATTTAGCTGAAAAGACGAAATCAAGCAAAATGTGACCCGAAGTAATTGCCTTGAAGCGAAAAGCCAAAAATGACCTTGGTTTAAAAGCTTATTTCTGACGTTTGGGACCTAGCTGAAAAGCTCTAGACCAAATAGACGAAAAGTTAGATCATCTGTTACTAAGAATATACAATACGCTACGATTTCAGTATTTTCAAGGTTATGACCGTTTGTATCAACGCATATGCGAGTTTCTGCAATATTTTCAGCTCTAGCGTTACGGATCTATCTCAAGTAGATTTAGTCAAAAGTACGGCTTACCTAATTTATTACTGGCACTGACTCACAAATTGAGCCATTTTCTAATCCCTGGATGCCAGATTCCATTTCCAGTAAATGTACTTTAGAAACTGCTGGTATGCGGCCATATTTGAATCCCATGCTGACAATCCGAAGCTTCAAACAGGTGCAACTATGTCACCTTTCGAGCTAAATAACTCGGTAAAACAACTTTTCAAAGGTGAGAGTTTGCTCGAGAATCAGAACCTCAATTAAGCAGGTTTCATTTGGGGTCAGAAAATTGAAATTTAAGTACTACGACTTCGAATAAACCTTTCATTCAACCGGCTCTACAAGGTCGAACGTAGCCTGAATTTCATCCGATTACCTCGAGTCGTTATTACTCCCTCAGTAACGTCTAAATCGACCAGCCGTTAATGCCGTCCAGTGACGTCACTGCTTCTTTGCTTTAATTCATGCAAAGAGTAAAACACGTTTTTCAAGTGGCAAACCAAGAAATATCGTTTAGAAATGATACAGAACAGCTGACAGAATTGCTTTACCCTTTTCGATCGTAATTCATGTTTTTAACGTTGAAACTATCAACTGCATGCAGTACTTTGAACCGGTTGTAATTCAAAGTCGGCGCAATCACGCAATGAAATAAATACAAACACGAAACACTTTGTTCAAAAACACAACAATTTCCTTTAATTGAAAAGAAGCTATTAAGTCCTTAACGAAGAAAAAAGAAAACAAGGAAACTAGAAAGAAAAGCTAACAGCATCGTTACACTTGACGGTGAAAATAGCAAGAAGGTCGAATGACAACATGACATTGGTCTTCAGAAACTTCGCATAAACAAAATCACTGCGGAAACCACAAAGCGGCTCCAAATGAAAAACCTACCGTCTCTCCGCAATGATTCTTCATTCGCAGCTCAATTCAGCAATTCAGTTTGGAAGACAAGGGCAATTTTGCTGTTTACGACAAAGATTATCGAAATGTTTGAACTCCACGCAAGCATGCCACCGATGCGATCCGCTGAATATCAAGCGATAATCCCGCTAAAATTTCTCATAATTATACATAATTATGCGAATGTTTAAACAATCAACCAATCAAAATCACTACCCGGTTTTCGGGTAGTAGTGACGTCACTGGACGGCATTAACGGCTGGTCGATTCAGACGTTGCTGAGAGGCAAAAACGAGTCAAAGCATGACTCGGATGACATTCAAACTAGGTAGAAAGCAGGTTGACACGTAAACCGAAAATTTCGAAACCCGGAAATACGGAAAACGGGAAATGTGGAAATCCGGAAATCTGCAAATCTGAAATCAGTCAGAAACCGAAGCCAGTATTGTAAAAACCAAGATAGACGCTGAGAGGCGTATAAGATAAAACCTTCCAAATAAGCAAACCGTAGCTGTTTGATTTTCAATAACTTGAAACGCCGTGTTTTCACGATCGATTGCTTTTGGCAAATATACTCCATAAGAAAACGTAAACGTCATTTGCCAGTCACAAACGTGCGATGTGCGTTAACATATCACACTTGTGACTCATACCTCACATAAGTTGGCTATGTATCGAAACTGGGATGGGTGTGGTGTGAATTAGGCTCGGTTGTCAGCATGAAGGCCCTTGAAAATCGCTTATTTAAAGTGGATAAACAGTCCCGGCAGGTGAGTAAGTTTATATGAAATCCATCATTACTCAGAGAGGGAGGGGAGGGCTTGTGCAAATGGAAGAAAGCCTGACCCTCCTCCTTGTAAAGCAGTTTTTTTTGTAATTCTCCTCTCATCTTATCTCGTCCCTTTGACTATTTTTGCAATCAGAACTAGGTTGCCCTCCTCCCAAACTTAACCAGTGCTAAAGAGGAAAAAATCTTTAGTTAAATTAGTAGGCAGATGACAGCTTCATTACTTGGCATCCAGTAATAAATAAAGCAGCAAAATTCGCCTTTGGACTTGGTATATATGCAACCTGGTATGTTTTTGTAGGAAAGGGTCCTGAAAGGACCACAGTAAACGGTCGAATAATGAAAAATTTTACGTCAAGTTAAAATTCATTCCGAGTGCATAACGCAGCCATTTGTTCCAGAGGCAACAGTTTCACGGTATCATCACGGGTAACACGGGTATAGCGGATTAGACAAAGAGAGCACGAGAAAGTCATTTGGAATAAAGAGAATGATTTTTGCAATAAACTCCCATTCAATCTAGAGCTGCTTTTAGAGAGGAGTCAATTATGTATGTGTGTTTAGACCTTAAGACCAATATTTAAACCCAATGGTGCACTAGGGGGCAAGTCATTAGGGCGATAGACTGTTCACAGTCTATTTTTCCGTGAGACCATCGAGATCGAAGACTTTGCGTTACGGGTGGCCATCTTAGATGAGTGTCAAATCTACTTAGGGGGCGGGGGACGATCCTGCCCCTAGAGCTATAGTCCCCAACGCCCGCCCCCTCGGTACATTTGAAAATCTAGATGGCCGCCATTAACGGTAAGACGCGCTCGATCTCGACGATATCACGGAAAAATTGGAGACTGTGAACAGCCTATCAGGGCGACCCTTTCTGTATATCAAAACGCGATGACACATGGCCAAGAAAGGCGCTAAGACACTTTGTTTTAAAATTAGCTACAAAGACCGAAAAATACTTGAAACAGCTTATCTACATTTGTCCATTAATTTGGGTTTTCTGACTCAAAATAAAACCTGCTTGGTTGATTTTTTGATTCTCTACTAAACGCTCACCTCTGGAAAGTTAGTTTACCCAGCTATTTATCTCGGAAGCGTGACACAGTTTCACCTTTTTTGAGCTTCGGATTGTTAGCATGAGATTCAAATAAGCCTCGTGCTAGTAGTTTCTAAAGCATATTTACTGGAATTTTATGGAATCCGGCATCTCAGATAATGAAATATGGCTCAATTTGTGGGTCAGTGCCAGTAATGAATGAATTAAGTAAAGTTTGAGAGGACAGCGATCTAGTTCTGATTGTAAAAATAGTCTAAGGGACGAGATAAGATGAGAAGAGAGTTACAAAAAACTACTTTACAAGGAGGAGGGTCAGTAAAATGTGAAGAAGGCTTTCCTCCATTTGCTCAAGCCCTCCCCCTCCCCTCTCTGAGTAATGATCGATTTCATATAAACTTACTCACCTGCCGGGACTGTTTATCCACTTTTAATACGCGATTTTCAAGGGCCTTCATGCTGACAACCGAGCCTAATTCACGCCACACCCAGTTTCGACATATAGCCAACTTATGTGAAGTATGAGTCACAAGTGTGATATGTTAACACACATCGCACGTTTGTGACTGGTAAATGACATTTACTGTTTCTTATGGAACATATTTGCCAAACGCAATCGATCGTGAAAACGCGGCGTTTCAATTTATTGAAAATAAAACGGCTACGGTTTGCTCAGTTCGAAGGTTTTATCTTATACGCAAGTAAAAACCAGATTCATTAGCTGTGGTCACCCTACAGACTTTTTACCTAGGTAAACACGACTTGTTGACGGTTTACCTAGGGAAACTTGGTTTTTTAAGTGTGACCGAGTTTTCCCTAGGTAACTTACCTCGGGGAAATTTTATCGTCTGGGTCTTGGATATGTCTCGAAAACAATAGAGTTTCCCATGACAGCTACCCCAACGCAATAGCTAGGGAAAATGAAATAACGAGGTTGCTAGCCAATAAACGCTCATCGGCGAAGGTCTTGATGACAGAACCGGACATAGATCACGCTGTGAAGGAAATTTTGGGGGCACGAGTCGTCTACGTCTTCGGTTTTCTTCACCTTGCACGTTGAATTAGCGCCGAATAGCGTAAGAAATAACAGCGATATAAAAGAGAAAAAACGTCTCTTTGATCAGCTAGATCCCTGCGCATTTTGCCTTCTTGAATTTACGCTCCAAAAAATTCAACTGGCGTGAAAACTTTGGGAGCCGATATCAGTAGTGTGACCTTCCCAGAATTTTTACCTAGGTAAAACAAAACCCGAGATGAATTTACCTCGGGAGATTTTTGATGAATTTGCCCTAGGTAAATCGGTTTTAACCAGGTAAAAGTCTGTAGTGTGACCACAGCTATTAACCAAAACTGCTTTTTTTTTTTCCCGCCAGGGGTGTTTATAAAGGGGTTGTCAAAATTAGCACCCCTTTGAAATTTGTCCATATGGTGTCTCACAGCTTGACATGGATTTTCTCATCCTAAAATCTGAGCAATCTCTTTTTCTTAAACCAGATATTCTGTTTCTTATCAATAAAGGAAGTTAGTTCTATATCCAATTCATTATTTGCGAATGTTTTTTCTATCATTGTTGGTGGAATTAGTTTGAACCCTGCTATATTAGCATCTGTAATGGGAGCTGGCGTTAATTTTGCTGAAGACATTTTCTGAATTCGAAGATTACAAACGTAAAATAGAAAAGAGTAAATATGCCTTTACAACATACCAAAAAGTATTACATGATCTCCGTACAGCCTTACGAGGAGGTCAATTTGATAAAAATGAATTTAAAAAAGAGATGCATCTCATTGATGACACAATAGTTGATTTTGTTACTCTGATCACCCGATTTGAGAAACAATGCAATAAGACATTCACATCTGAGTAAACTTTATTTAAAGGGGCTGTGCCCGGGGGGGGCACTTGGGTATTTTTTGGGGGGATATGTGCCGCCCGGGACTCCAAATTGGCACCCCGTTCTAAACAAAAATTCCCCTAAAATTGATACCCCGTTCTAGAAATGGGCCAATTTTTTATACCCCGTTCTAGAATTCGCCCTATAACTGAAACCCCGTTCTCGAAATAGGTCAAGTTTTTATAAAAAGATATTTCTTTACTTGTTTGACTTATACATCAAATAAATGCTTCTTCATAATCAGCAACAATTTTAAGCAGAAGATAAAGCCGTGATCCACAATTTTTTTATACCCCGCTCTAGAAAACGCCTCTGAAATGGATACCCCGTTCTAAATCAGGAGCTTCAAAATCACGACCCCGTCGGGCGGCACATACCTGTATAGGTAGTGTATGGGAGTACCCCCCCCGGGGGCTGTGTCACGGCAGTCCAGTTCATTTTGTTTAATTTTGCCTGTTACTCGCCCACAATCGCTATGGAACTTAAAGTAAGCAAAGAAATTACTTGTAAATGACAAAAGCAGAGATTCGAGAAGCTGCAAGCAGCAGAGATCAACTTTGAAATACTGTTAGGCTGAACAGTTTTCAAAAACGTTTCAATCTTCTTCAGTTTTGCCCATCTGTGGCATCTGTTGTATCTGTTGTGTTATTTTAACCTTCCTTTAATGTTTTGAGCGATTATTTTTACGTTTCTCTTAATTTAACGGGCATTTTGTAATTACCTAATTTGGCTGAATTTCGTGACACAGCTCCTTTAGGGTCATATAGGGGATTCCCAGCTTATGACTTCCTTTTTCTAATATCATTTTCAATTAACCCGTAGACTTGTTTCCATTACCGATTATAATAATTCAATGTCTTTTATGATTTCGAAAATGGGATATATTTATGTCCGATTCCTAAAATGTCAAATAGCTGCTTCAAAATAAACATAATACTTATCATGTTCTTACGGCTATTGTTAACTTGTGGTGACATTTGGTCAATCAATTTAAAAATACAATATATCTTCTGCTTATTATCGTAACTAATTTCTATTCGGTGATTTTCACCTTATGCATTAAGAACATTTTCAATATGATATTTTCGGTGATAAATATATTTTTTCATTATTCTATACCTATTTTCGTAAAAATTAACATATTCATCCGCAACTTTAATTTTTATAAACAGTACTGCAAGTTTTACAAAGAATATGTTTATCATCAATCAGAATCGGATTTTCGCAACAATCATAAATCGCACTTTTTATTTCTTTAATGGTTTTATCACAAAATGGGCAAGTACAATATGCCTTCTTTAATTCATTATAAATTTCTAAACTACAACTCATTCTATATACATTTATATAAGGTAATATTTCTTTAAAACAGTTTGCCTAAAAGAAGGGCTTAAAGCAGAATGCGTCTGTGTAGAACAGACATTAGGTAGCTTTAACATTGACGACGGCAACGGCAGCGAAAACGTGAGTTTTAAAATGAATTCCCGTTTTTTCAATCTTTTTCGCGTTTATTCCAATTTGCTGAAAATGGCAAGTGTAGGCGAATTTCCCTGGAGCTGATTTCTTGAGGACCGCACTCAAGTTTAGAGAGAGAAAAAGAGATTCGTCGTCGCTTGTTTACGTCCTCCATAAACTCGCAATTAGGCATTTTCACGTCGTAGCCGTTGAAGGACGGTAAAGAAATGTACAAAAAAGCGTGATTCACGTGCACAGTTGTTGTTTTGCCAATCTAAACCTATTGCTTTTTTGACGTCCTCGTTGCCGTCGCCGTCGTCGTTGCTAAAGCTCACTATTATAACAAGGGAAAAAAAACCCTTATAGGGGACAAAAAATCGTATCCCATATCAAAGAAAAAAATGAATTGGAGTTAAATATAATGCTAGTTTGAAGAGGTAATAGATTTGAGTTAAAGCCCATGAAAACCTATTAATTGGAGGTCTTAGAACAAAATATGACGAAAAATGCGCTGTAACCCCATATCATGCATATCTATATTACTAGCAGTATCATACTGCTAGTAATATAGTACAAAGTGGTATAAGAATACTTGTTAAGTGATAACCTACCATCTAATCAATGAAATATTACCCGGTTTAATTTTACTTTAGTTTAATATTACCGATCAATTACTGCTTTTTATATTCCCAATCAAAGTTTTCCTTTCAGTTTTTTTTATTCAAGTTAATGCGTGGTGTGAGCATAATTATGTAATTTATCATCGACTTCTGGCAAGTCTTGGTACTTACAAGGCTTCATGAGCGAACTCAGAAGGGACTTCATCAACATAGTAGCTTTCTACTTGCTCTCTTGACAGCAAAGTTGTAGTATACTTGACTTTAGTGGAACTTTACATAATGTTGCTTGCGTTATTGTTGCTCGCTCAGTTCGCCATTGTAAGAGTATTCCGACCCCAGAATAAGGCTAAGCATACCAGTTAAAGGTAGCCTCCCACGCAGACGTTCTTAGGGGTTCGCCACACGTTCCTACCCCACTAACGTCTGCTGAACCGAAAGATAAATTCCTTTCCCATTGTTCGCAAATATCTGCCAGAGATCACACGCAGATTATCGGAGATCCAATGGGCGCTGTTGAAGTCAAAGTGTTGACAAGCCAAACACATACGTACAAGCTCGGTAGAGGGTGATAAGTGACCAAAGATGTTTGCTCCGAACGAGAATCTAGGAGATAAGCGTTGGCGTTTTGTACATTTCTCTCTGTAATGGCTGGATTAGATGTCATTTGCTCATAAAGTTGTTCTTTGGGTGATGCAACGGCGGGGTTACCTTGTAAGGCTGAACAAAAGGCAGACTTTTTTTCACACTTTATTGTTTTGTGGTAAAGCCGACTTCCGTTCAGCAAATTTAACCTCCGAGATAACTTTTTTTAATGAGATTGTGAGGGTAGCCTCTAGTACGAACGCCTGGGAGTCAACGGAGTAGTTTGTTCTAAAACTGTAAAGTCTTCACCTTTCACGATACCTTTCTAATCTTTTCTGAAGCTAAGTCAAGCGCGAAATTTCTCAAGGTCCAAAGCGCAGTTCCCAGATCTGGAAGTCTGCTGTGATTGGTCTACGTCTTTTTCCGCTCAAATCAGTAGACGTTAGTGGGGCAGAGACGAACCCCTAAGAACGTCTGCGGGGGAGGCTAGTTGAAGGTCGTCCTCATGTAAATCCGTAAAGCTTTTGTAATAGTTTTTGCGAGAAATTATCAGTACTTTGACAAAGGAAGCTAGCTACCTTTTTAAGTAGTTGTTCCATTAGTTTTCTTTCAACAACAGTACTTACAATGCATATTACCTAACTTATTCTCAATACGTAATATCATTTTGCTTATCGGTGGATTCACAAATCTTTTCGTTTAGGAAACTCAGCTTTATTTTTATTCTTTATAATTTTTTTTCGCCTTTTTTTTCTTTTGTTTAGACACTGTTAGACGAGAAGCAGATATCGTGGATAACCAAAAATGAAAAGTTCACAAGAAAATTCTGTAACAGCTTACTAATTCAGCTGAAAGAGAAACATCTTAATCCAGTCCGTCGACGACTTGAGCGGAATGAAGCGGCCAAAATATCTTTCCATCAAATCATTGGTGGATACAATCAGATCCAGGAGGATTACCACAACTCTGCTAAAGGTGCCAAAGATGTTATTACCGCAGTTTTCACAGAGTGTTGCCCGGTAAGATTAAACGTTGAAATTAGTCCATTTCTTTCGAATTGAATAATGACCCCCATCTGCTGAGTTAGATTGGTTTGTCGGAGTTAAAACTGAAATAGACATCGATCCCCTCCTAGTCGCAAATGAAGACGTTTGATTAAACTTCTAGGCTGCTATTTCTTTCAGTGAACTAATGTTCTGTTTGTTTGGTTGCAGGCTCTTTTGAAAGAACTGGAGCAATCCTTAGTGGCCAAGGCTTTACAAGAACAGGAGAACCAAAGGCTTGAGGTTAAAATTTTTTCTCACCCTGCTTTTTGGCTTTAGATAACTTGAATAAGCAAGAGTAAGCTTTAGGCCTCGTCAAACATTTTTCCTTTTCAGTCGGGTAAACGCATACAAAAACATCCCTTCTAAACGACAATCCTGGACAAAAGTCTGGGGACACTTTGCATTTCTGGGGCGTTTTCCAAGTCACACATGTTCAACTCCTCCCCTCACCCCACTGACAATGTTGGACTCGTGTATCCAGATTTTTTTTCCGAGTTTCAACTTTGTATAGGGTAGGGGGAGGGAGACTGCAAGAAAATTTCGAAAAGGGTGCACTGTTTATGAGGGAACCGAGAAATGATAGAGAAATATGGATATTGCATTACTGTCCCAAGGACAGGACATGATGATTTTGCAATTTTTATTTGTTTGAGCTTAAACTTTACACAGGATGACAGAACTCGGTATTTCTAACGATAGTTTGTTTTTAGATTTTTATTTTATCTGTTTTTGGCGGGAAAATGACGTTATAGGAATAACAGAAAAAATTGATTTTCGACTTCTGAGGTAAAAAGTAAGCACTTTAAATCCTACGCCAGTAACCCAGCCGTCTAATATATTTGAATAACGCTCACAGGCTATGATATATGGCTGACGACTTTAATAGTCGGGTACACAGGGGAACTAAAATGTTACACCCACGGGCTTTTTTCTGTGATTTTTGGCAACAAAGCTATTCTTACTAACTCGATTACGCTGATTTCGAAAATCGTTGTTGCTAATCTCAATTCATGTGTTAAGATGATATATTGGGGCGTTTCATTATGACGCCATTGTCCAAAAAAGGAGTTTTATTTCTTTTAACAATTTTAGGTTTACTATAACCAGAGACGCTTTGAACTTGTGATCAGTGTACTATAAAGATTATAACGAAAATTTCTGGCAGTTTTCAAGCTGTGTCTACTAATTTTAAACCGTCACTTATTAACAACTGACCACGCCCTTTGATATAGTTACTTTTTGAAAACGAATGTAATACTTGTATAAAGCTGCAAGTAAAAACATGCAACCCTTTCAACATCGTCCATAACACGAGTTCTTAGCAATTGTAAAACCTCTCTGTTCCTGTACCAAGCACTTTGAGGTAAAAACGTTTAACAGCTAATTCAAAGGTGAAAACTGAGCTGAAAAGACAACGGGTGCCCAGGAGTGGCTAATTATGACTGGAAAAAAGTTAAACGGCACTCCACGTGAGATCTCCTCTCCCTGTAACAGAGATACTGCCGAACCGAGCCAGCGGTGCACGAATACTGACCTATATCACGAAGACTTCCTGTGCGCCCAGCAGATTGGTTCCATCTTACAACTTGGGTTCTCATATTGGTGCGTAGACATTGTCGTATAACATACAACACGATGACCGCTTTATCCAAAGAGACAGCTCCCGGGAGAGACAAAGTCAAGATAATTAAGCTGAAATGCATTACACTACAAAAATTTGGGATGTTCTTTACTTAGATAAAAGTTCCTACCTGCGACTTCGGAAATTGAGCAGTCTCTTGTCCAAGTTGTTATAAGGGACAGACTCAGGTTGAAACGTTTGTGCAATGTAATGGAGGCTACTTTCTTCAGACAGAAAAGACGAACAGGATTACAAAGTTAAAATTGCTACAACTAGCTTCAAGAAAAACAATTCTGGAAGCAGACAAGAGGGGTAAGACTAAATCTGCGGAACTGATAATAATAATAATAATAATAATAATAATTAAGTTCTTTTCCATATTTTCAGTTACTAGTTACTATTAGTTACTATTACTAGTGGGGGAGTTTATGTGAATTCATGTAAATTTAAACCCTGATTTTAGTAGGACCTACTCCCATAAGTGATTGACGACGTGCTGAAGTAAACAAAATACGGGTTATGACAGAATAATATTTGCTGTAGGAAATTGAAAGTTAATAGTTAACCAAAATTAGTAGTTAACTGAGAATTGGCCGAAAAATTAGTAGTTAAGTGAGAATTGGGTACTCCCATTAGCATCCTCAAGATAGCCTCCTGTAGCGCTTGCACTCGACGATTTTGTGAAAAAATGGGGTATACCACCATAGCATTAATCGAGAGTTCTGGTTCCAAAGTCCACAAATCGCGGATTTCCGGCTTGTTAGTACATTTGGAAGGCAACGAGAGGTATATATTTAAACACAGTAGCGCAAGGTTGGGAGAATGAGAGAATTTAATGTGAATCTGTTTTTGAAAAGTAGATGACACTGAGCGAATGGCTCGGTGGTATCTGAGAACTAGAGGAATACGTGTGGGTGAGTTGGCTATGGTTCACTGGGTCATCGCGTCAGTGTGTGACAGGTTGAACACGTTGAATCCCCTGGTATAGGAGACCGAGACTGTAATGTGTAAAGAACAGTTTCGATAATCGGTACCATCATTGAAGGACACCTTGACGTAGAGAAAGGAGAAAGATTTGAATGAGCATTTTCATGTACATTTAATAGTGGGATATTACAACTGTATCTTGTGGTTGTTCAAATTAAAAGCAATTTTCTTTTAAGATTCTATCCTTGACGTAGCTGTTTGAAATCCAGCCACGAAGAAGACGATATGAAATTCGTTGTCTATGTAGTCATTCTTAGCGAGCATTTAAACAACGTGGTAGTCTCCTCTGAAGACACAGACGTCTCCACTATTTACTGTTCCTGGCGCATCGCAATAAGCTGTCATCAAAGGAACGGATATGGGCAGAACTTTGTAGAAGCCAAATTATATACTTTTGCAAGAGATCTCAGTAAATCTTCATCGTAACTTATCATGTCCAGGGGCGTAGCCAGCCTATAGACCAGTAGGCCAGGGCCTACAAATTTTAAGGTCGATCATTCTACCGCTTGTATATTAAATTATGCGTTGTTGGGATGAGCTAAAAAAATTAGGGGCTCAAAGTGGTGGTGAGGTCAGTTGCCACGATTCATGTGTACGTCTTTCAGGATGTGTGGAAATGAAAGTCAACCAGGCCTACAACTAGTCGAAAAGCTGGCTATGCCCCTGGCATTGTTACCATTCAATGCCACCACCGGCTGTGACTGCACCTCGTTTATCTGTGCTGACACCATCGCATCTGCAGATAGGTTTATTTGTCCGTTAGGTATGACGGATCAAGAGAACAACTGGACTTTGCTCGCTCCTTGCTATTTGCCAAATTCAATAACCCAGAGAAACTACGCGCTATTTGCGATGCGTTCAAGTAACACCTGAGAGATGCCACTACCAAACCACGGTTTGGCGCCAGGCAGATTCCAAAAGGGGAGCTTCCGCACCTTGAGGAGACAGGATGAAGATGAAGATGAGCATCTACTGGTCGCTATTTTTATGACCCTCAATCAAACCTTAGAGGCTTGTCTGGAGTGAGTTTCAAACTGGTTCGCCACTAGCAGCGCTGTAAATACAGTACGTTGCATGTCATGTTCCCTCGACAGTGTGGATGTACTAAGGCCGACACTAACTGCTACATCAACCGGCACTCGCTTATGTTAAAACCTTAAGCGAGGTTAACTCTTTAAGAGAGTTAAGAAAATTCATTTACAATTCTTACAATATGGCAGACTGAAACCTTAGCGTAAGGAGCGATGTGCTGACATGTTCTATTCGTAAATTGTACATGAATTCAATTAGTCACTATCATGAACCTGACAAAGTAAATTGTGAAATGACTTAGATTCAACAATATACAAAAAAAATGTAAAACTTAATCTCAAGTAGTAACAATACACATGTTTTTTCATCAAAATATCACAATTACAATAGGAGCGTATTTGGCACCTGACCATATCCGTGACAAGGTGAATTTTTTTTATGAGAGGGCATGGTCGGTGTTGACGTGACGGCTTATTATTTACTAGTAAATAGCGTTAAAACTGTCGGAAATTCTCTTGACCATCTCTGCAGTACACTTATAGCAATTTCAAAGCGTTTTTGGCTATATTAGTCTCGCTTGCGTAGGCAGCGACACTCATAATCTGCAACGCGTTTTTCGCACCGGGGGGGTTAGTCCCTTATATAGGCTATATAGGTATGTGCCGTGCCAAAGGGTATGGTTTTTTTTAGCCGTTTTGGTCTGAAATAGGGTATGGTTTGTGCACTCTAGTCTTGAATTGGGTATTTTTTTAGAAGAATTAGCTACTTCTTCATCATTTGGCGATAAGACCATTTTCCTTTTAATTTTTACCCCAACTACCGTGTACGTGCCGTAACAGCTTGTCACGCGCTCCGGTCCGGCGCCGGGTTCCAGGGCTTCAAGTCTGAAATAGGGTATCAAATTTTTGATCAGGTCTGAAATAGGGTAGGGAAAATCACAGATTTTGGTCTGAAATGGGGTAAGGGTTTTAGGAAGCGTGCCTCACACCCCCTCCCAATTTTTCTGGAAGTACCCCCCGGAATTTTGGGTCTTAATTTAGGACACAAAAGGCAGGTCATTGTGCCAGGCGTTCCTGGCGGAGAGCGTGGAAACTGGGACTGCGTGGAAACTGGGATTGTGTGATCGAAGCCACCCATGTTTTGCGAAGAAAGCTTAGGAAGTATTAAATTTAGAACTTTTCCGAAACGTGTCGGTCCACGAATTGTATCGCTTGAAAGCGTTGATTACTTTGGAGCAAGTGAACACTACTGAGGGGTCGATAAAAAAAATAAGAATCGTAATTAGCAAAATTGCAATGGTCATGTGCTGTAAACTTTCACTGTATACAAATAAGTCTTGTGATCACTTTTTCGATTTCTGGCAACGATGTAATTTCTCTGGAATCGAGGCCCTTGAATTTTCGTGTATTTATACACGCGTATAGCCTGCTACCGCAGCGGTATTTTTGGTCGTCGCTAACACGCGTACTAAATCAATTCAGAAACAAATAGAAAGTATCGGCATCGATAAAGTAGGAAGTAAAAACCTTTAGCGGGTAAATCATGTTTCTTGTCGAATTAATCGCCTCCTCATTTCTCGATCTGATCTCCAGGCAGGCGAGACTTGATGCCGCTGTAAGCACGTTCTTGTATTTATCTTAAAATTGTGGAGAGAAAACTCCTTATTTGGACAATGACGTCATAATAACATGCCCCAAAATGCCATCTTTTCACAAAAATTGAGCTTGGCAACAATGATTTTCGAAATCAGCGTATTCATGTTAGTAACAATAGCTATGTTGCCAAAAATCAGACCAAAATAACCGTGGATGTCACATTTTGGTTTCGACTATTTGAAGCGGCAGTCTCAGTAAAAACCACCCACTCAATTTCGCATGACCTATAATTTTGCCTGAAACTCTGGCAAGTGAAAGGGTTTATCGAGAATATAACTAGAATAGCTTTGCTTTGATTCACAATAATTTTCTGACAGAGCTCGGGAGAGCTGAGTATTTTGTCCCGCCACGGCTAGTTTTCACGCCTAGAAATTTGAAAATTTGCCATTTTTTGCAGCGCTGTAAAATGTTTGATTTGTACCATCTACCAATTCATTTTACACCTATTTATCGGACAATATCTCTAGTTTTTCCTGAAAGTAATAGTTATTTGCGAAATGTAGCCTAAAAGACGAAATCGAGCAAAATATGACCCCAGCTGAAATGACCATAGTTTAAACTCTTATTTCTGACCTAGTTGATAGCTCTAGATCAAACAGACAAAAAGATAGATCATCCACTATTAAGAACATACGAAAACTCATGTGCGATGTTAGTATTTTAAAAGTTATGCCCCTAGTGTCACCATTGGGTATATTGGATGGGAGTTTCTTGCAACAGTTCCTTCATTCCATGACTTTCGCCTGCTCTCCTCGTGTTATCCGCTATCCGTTTTATCTGTGATACCGGGAGAAAAATGTCCCCTTTGGAATAAACAGCTATTTTAGTAATAAAATAATAATAATAATAGTAATAATAGAGAGCGAAGCGAGTTTATAATCTCGTTGCGCGCGAAGCGCGCGCAGTAAGTGAACCACGCGTGGTCTTAGCCAGCTGCAAAATTGGATGCCCCATCTTTCTTTCTATGAATATATCGCTTGGTGTTCGCTAATGACGTCATGTAGCGTTACGTCACGGAGCATTTTGTGTTTTCTAGGCGACGTAGACTTTCCCGCCGATGACCAGGGTTCATGTTGTATTCGTGAAGGGCTGGTGTGTGTATTCATCGTCTGTGAAACAATGTTTAAGATCGGCGAATCACGAGCAATTCGGTATGCAAATGAAACAGAACAGCAAACACAAATATTGGCTGGAAATCCTCGCCGGCGAAGATTTTCCACCTAAAGTCCTCTAGAGAACGCCGACTAAAATTGGGCGATCTCGCACCTGTTTGAAAGATTGTTTTTGATTAGCTGGGAAAACAACAGGGATTGTCAAATAACTATGCCCTTATCCCTGAAAACAACGGAAGATTAAAGATTAAAGGGGACCATTGAAATAAGAGGTTTAGAACGGTACAGGACTACTGTTACTATTGTTGGATCTCAGCGAGATCTCGCCGAGATCCCTAAATCTCGGCGGCCAAAATCCTTTCGAGAATCTCGCCGAGATTCCTAAATTTCCGGATTTACGTGTTTCCACACTTCCCCTTTACGTGTCAACGTACACCTTGTAGACGCGGTTGACGCGGTTTCACCTCTGGACAGTTTTTTTACGGAGCTATTCAGCTCGAAACGTGACACAGTTTCACCTGTTTTGAACTTTCGGGTTGTCAGCAGGGGATTCAAATATGGCCGCATACCAGCAGTTTCTAAAGCACTTTCATTGGAATTTTATGGAATTCAGCATCTCAGGAATTATAATATGGCTTCAGCAGTAAACTCAATACCTCTGAGTTCGAGAGCAAAAAACTTAAGCGCCTTTTGAAATGCGATAAAATAAAATCTTTTATAAGATAATTTAGTCTTTTAGCTTTAATTTGATATATAACTTGCCTTTGTAGCGAAAATACTCGCGCGACTAGAATTTTTTTCTGTGGGCACCTCGTTTTCCTTTACCGAGACCTTAAATGGTTTTGAACTATATTCTGGTTGGGTGCCCCTGAAAATTCATTGGTATATGTTGCAAATCAAACATTTGACAGCGCCGCAAAAAATGCCTAATTTTCAATTTTCAAGACGTGCAAACTGGCCTTGGCGGGAGCAAATACTCAGCGCCCCCCAGCGCGGATAGAAAATTATTGTGAATCAAAGCAAACCTATATTAGTTATAGTCTCGATAAAGCCTTTCACTTTGCCAGAGTTTCGGGCAATTTTATTTTTCACGCAAAAATTGAGTGGGGGGTTTTTACTGAGACAGCCTCTTAAAACGCACTCAGCGGCCCGTCAAAAGGCCCAAGATAAGCTTGAAAAACTGGATTTGCTGATTTGAGTTAAACCCTATGAAAATCCCCGACTTGGGGGTCTTAAAGCAAACAACGACGAAGAAAACGCTGCTGTCCCCAAGTATCATACTACTATTGTTGTTAGGCTTTTTTCTTTATGATTGTCTTTCGGCTATTTTTCATAATATTTGTATTGAGAGAGCGTGGATAAGGGAAAGTTCATTTGATTTGGAGCAGTGGGTACGAAGATATTTGGGGAGGGTGAAATTTTGGGTGCGTGGGTTCGGGGAGCTTTGAAAAATCGGTGAGGTCAAGGGGGAAGGCGTAAAAATCTGGCAATAAAACTAAGGGTTTGATTACATGGGTGGGGCTGTCTCGCTTTGCAGAGATCTCGGCACGAAAGAAAAGTCAACTTTGCGGTTACATGACAACCGAGGCAGTCCTCCTGGAAATTTTCCAAATAATCACGCTTGCCGGGTATCCCAGTGAATGAACAAAGAGAGAAACACGCACACTGCTTCCAATCGCATCTGAAAAGGTAGTCCTGTTTTTCCGAGCGGAATATTCCAAGTGGAAATTTGTGTTCAACTTCTTCAAAGTCATCTTTGATACCGGTTTCAGGCCTTCGCGGTCGTTTTTCGGTAAATGGAACGGATTCCTACAAACGTAAACGCGATTCCTTGGCGAAATTTACCAGTCCTGAATTTTTCGTACCAATTACTTAGACCGTGGACCAACCGGTTTGCCCATGTAAATCGGAAACAACCATCGACTTGATCTAACTAGCCCAAGGGTTTTAAAAATAACTGTCACGCACGCAGTTTGTACGTGAAGATGTTGGACTCTGCCCCTTTTACGCTTTGAACGTGAAAGAATTCAACTTGTTTACGAGTTCATATTGCTCAATAAGATTTTA